GTTAATATAATTACAATATTATAAAACATATTATAATATTACATAAGAAATATTTCAATTATAATATAATTAAAAATTACAACTATAATATAATATAATATATAATCATTATTATATTATATTAAACAAATATATTATAATTAAAAAATTATATAATCATAACTTGTGTAATACACAATAATAGATAATAATATTAGAATTATTAAACTATATTAATTATTATATTATTATTAATATAATAAATATAATTATATTAATACAATTTAATATATAATATTATTATGAAATAATAATTATAATATCAAATTATAATTATAATACCATATTATAATTATAATACCATATTATATTATAAAATCATAATATTTGAGTTATTAATATAATTATGATATTATTTGTTGCAATATTATTATTATATTATATTATATTATTGTATTATTATATTATATTATATTATATTACGAGTTTAAATTTTATATTGAGAAAATTGTAAATTTTACTAGGAGTATTATAAGTATTATAAAAGTTTCATTAATTGTATTATGCTGATTCCTACACAATTTAAAAGTTAAAATTGCCTTTGAGCTGCTTCTAATTTTGACTATAAATTCTTTAAAAATTCTTTAAAAAACATTTTTGAGAAGATTTACTAAATACTAAAATCAATTTTTGTTACAAACAGAAGCTGATTTTAAGTGCGAAAAGCAATACCAAACGCAACCTATAACTCTCACTTTATACAAGTAATAATACCATCAAATTCAAATCTTGTTAGACACACACGTATTAACCACTTAAATTAGCCTCAAGTGTGGTTTTGAATTTTGAGCATTTATTTGCAGCTTTGCGATAAAAGAAGTCGATAGCTATAAGATGTTTTTGATTTTTTTTTCCCTTTTATATTCCCATATACTTTCAAATTTCACTCTATCCACAAGGGCTAAGACCAGAATTTGACGAGTTGTCAAAGCAGAGAAAACATGTCCCGCCTATTATACCATAGCTTTTTTGAGGAATCGATCGATCAGGAAAAATTCCAATGTTTTACAATTACAGAAATTTTGATATTTCAGCACGGTCCTTTTGAAGGAAACCTGACCAATAATATTACTTCAGTACCCAACTTTCCGATTATGGAACTGCATTTTAAGAATCTAGACCAATCACAGACCTTAGCCGAATACCACTGAAGAAAGTGGTCATACAGCCAGAATTCAGTGCTGAAGTGGAATTAGATGCCAGCTTTTCAAGGCTTGAAGTCACTAGCCCAAACTTTTCAACAAAGCGCAAAACTCTCAGATATCTCTTGGCAACTCTTTAATAAATAGCCAACAACAAAAAAAAGAAATGTTATAGCAGTAAAAAGGTTGTAATATACAAGAGTATGATTGTATTTAATAGTCAAATACAAACTATGAGTCATGCGTGTGCATAGATCATCTATTTCTCAAACTTACAGGAAAGAATCAATGTCGACATAATGATGCAAAAGAATGCAATCTTGAAGTTGGAGAGAGCAACTATTCTGTTGGTTTCCTCTTCCTCCCAAGAACAGCTGCTTTCTGGAATCTAGGACCACCGATCCGCCATTTCTTAAAGGCAGCCATTGATGATTGAGCTGCCTCATACACTAAGATACACAAAACCATCAGACAAACTACAAGCATTCAGAATTACGAATTACGATAAACAATATGCTAAAACATGTTGTATGAGTCTCACAGTTGGTCTCTTCTTTCGTTAAGACGGTCAAGGATTTGGAAGCAGCTGCAAATGCAGCAGTGTGTGCCTTTGCCAGGACTTCCTGGTATCTGTTCTTAAATGCAGACAAGAGGAAGGATCCCATATCTCTATCACCAACTCTGTCCATAAGAAAGAAAAAAATACGGAAGAGGCTAGTTACAGTCAGTTTTGGCCAAATGAAGATTAGCTGCTATAAACCGAGCATATTAAAATAATCCCTGCGTGTGCCTGTAATGTGTGCATAACTGTAATAATTACAGTGTAATTCATACCACCAAGTGAGCTTATCCATCTATCCGAATCACACGAGAAAGATAAGAAGAGACCAACATATGTCTAGTATGCATCTAAAGCACGAAATATTCTGTGGTGCCAAATCATATCCTATTTGATAGCCCTGGTAATTTGCATTGGCAATATTAAAAAGATAACCGGGAAAGAATCACGTCATATGCATTATACAGATGATATTAATGTCCAAACTGTAGGTTTGGTCAGCGTCGAAACAGTACTCTCTGTAGATCATTCCAAGCAATTTTGATGCTCTCAGCATAATTGATCTTAAAACATTATAGTGTGTCGCACTTTGCTTCCATATAACGTAATGGAAGGTGATAAATTGGTGATGTCACGAAACAATTTGGGTAGGATCACATAAGGCTTTATTGTGCATAACTAATCATTCAATAAACACTAATTCCTCCTGTGAGTGCAATGCCCACAATCACATATTGCACATACAAAAAGACAGGAATGCAGTGCAAAGGTTTTCTTTTGTTGGATTCTTGACACGTATTCTTCCTAAATCCCATTGAAAGCTTTATCTCTTAGACCATATTTTCTAAATAGGACTCACACAGCACAAGCTAAAATTGATTAAGTTAGTAAGTTACGCATGCGAAAAGAAAAGGGGATAGGAAGAAACTGACAGTGGTGCTATTTTGCATCCAAATTCATAAAAGTATGGACACCGAGATCTCAGATCCACGCATGCAGCGTCGGCTCCAAGTTCTAGCCTGGTTCTGGTATTAGAAGAGAGAATGAAACGTTAATAAGAGACAAATAGAATTAATAGCGCCAATCACTTCTTTTCAACTTTGAACTTGCTACTCATTATCTATGAATAAAATAAAATGGGGGTCGGAAAATACTGAATTCGGTTGGTCTTCATCTAGCCATATTTAATACTATAACCATAGAAAAAATAATAATAATAACACATAAACTACCAGTGAAGGGTCATCAGCAGAGTGAAATGATTTAATATCTTTATGATCATAGAACAGAGAACAGCAAAAACAAAAATAAAAAAAACAATCCAATGGAATTCAACCATAAAAAGTTCTATAATGTAGCCATGTTCAACGGGGATTGGAAATGCGAAGTTATTATGACAATTACTTTTGATTGAAACACGGAGGGAGCTTCATCGTCGCTATTTGTCTCAAGTGCAACTCATGGGCAAGCCAGAAAGGCAGCTCTACCTTCGAACCCGGTTCAACCTGAAACGAACAAACAATAAAAAATATCACAAAAACAATTTTAAAAATAAATTTGAAAAAAAAAGTAAAGATTCATTCACAGCCAAAGGCGAATCCAATTAACGAACTTACACTATCCGTTTCAGAACTGGGATCTATTCCCACTCCATTCACCGCCTTTTGGAACACGACCGAGACTAGCTGTGAGCAAAGCAGATAACCACATTTAACAAAATATGGCAAAATTAGGGACTTTTCGAGACGGAATTGAGGCTAATTTAGCATTCACCTCTTCCTCCGCGAGAATATCGTCAATATCGTAGTAATTCGCCATTGCCGTGTGAAAACTCTTCGTTTTACCCTATGTTTGGTTAGAGAGCTCTAATCCACAAATCCAGAATTGAAAATGGAAAAGTAAGGCCACGGAAAATTAATTTCAGAGACTAGATGGAGAATCAAACGCAAGCCAAAAACCTGAATCCACCATTCGCACACACAAAAAAAAAAAATTAAAAAAAATTCAAGAATGCGAGAAATTATCAGAAATTCTATTACAGATCTGAAACGATGAACGAGAATTATAGTTCAAATTATCTGAAAATGGAGAGAAAATAACATGAAAAGTAGAGAATTACCTTGTGAGTGTAGGAATTAAGAGCTTACTTACTCTGAGCCTCAGTATGGCGAAGGAGCAATGATGAAAAAAAAAAGGAGGGAAACTCAAAAACATACCTATGGCGCGGAACTTGGGGATTCTTTTCATGTTTAATTCAGTTAATGAAAAAAAAAAAGAAAAAAAAAAAAAGGGGGATCAGAATTGTCGTTTGATCCACGTTTAAAATTTTGTTGTCGTTTTCGCGGAGCGTTAGATTTTAGCCCCGTTCATTTCGTTGATTCGAGTTTAGAATTCGAGTTTTGCTACAGTAAAAAGCTCTCACAAATAATCACATCTAACTTTTTTACTACAGTAAAAAACTCTCACATAAAATCACATCTCAACTCAAATTAAAAACTCAAATCAGTGAACTAAACGGGCTCGTTCATTTATCAAAATTTTGATTTGTCTTTCGAAATTCTGTTGTCGTTCATGTTGGAAAGTTTACATCTGATTTATTTCCTACATAATTTAATCTGTTGAATTAAGTTGTTCCTATGAAGGCAACACGTTGCTATTATATGAGGATTCTTGTCGTTTAATTCACTAACAACATGTCGGTTGTCGTTTGAAAATTTGTTGTCGTTTTTTGGAAAGCATACATTTCATCGATTGTCATTTAAAATTTTGCTTTTGCTTTGCTGGAAGTCGAGACTATGATGGTTTTGTTACAAAATAAAGAGATAAATGGATCATTTATTTTTTGCTTTGTTACAAAGAGATCATGTTAAATATGTTGTCGTTTTTAACATGGCAGCAATTACGCCTAATGAAGAATCTCAATTAATACAGTCCACAACAATTCATTTTCTTTTTCGTTTAAAAAACAAACTATTAGGATTTTGTTAGTTGGCAATGTTCATAAAAATTCAAAAACAAGTACTTTTTTATAAATGTCATTTTTGGGCTGATTATGAAGATATTTTGTTTGATTAATTGTTCTATATATGAAATGTTTTGAAGAAAGAAAGTAGACTTGGTGAATGAAAGATTTGAGAAATTTGGGGCAATCATGGAAACAAATGTACATTTGATGAAAGAGTTATTTGAGAAAAGAATATTAGATTAATTGTCTTAATGGGTTGATTGTATTTAGAGTATGTGAGGAGTTGATTATTGGAGACCTACCTTGCACGGGAGAGTCTGTTGGAGCGATTCCAACACCAACTCACCGGAATTGCAAGAAACAATAAAACTAAATAACAGTATGAACATAGAAGATTTGTTTGACCGAGGTTCAGAATAAAATTCCTACATCCTCGTTGAGCTCTTTCGCAGAAAAACTCTATCCACTAATCAGAGATTACACCCTCAATTCCTCACAACACAAAGATTTCCCCGATTACAAAAATCCACACCCAAGAGAAAAAACTAAGCGAATAACAAGATGAATTCCCAGTTGAAGAACAAATCGAAGAACTCCCAGACCCCCTTGTTCCCAAGCTTACAATTTCTCTCTCTCGAAATCCCTAGAGTTTCTCTCACTAAAATCTCTCGCAGAAGAATACTTCTCTCTCTGTCTTTCTTTAGTTCACCGTGGAGAAGAAAAGAGAAAATCAATTTCTCTGTTCGATGTTCTTGTTCTCATTAGTTGTTTTGGGGTTGTGATTGTTTATTCTTATCAAAAGGAATTTTTGTTCCGATTCCTAACAGAGTCCTTAGTTGGCATGGTAGAAATCATATCAATCTGTGAGTTGGAATTTAGTTGACCACCAAAATTGAAAAAGAGAATCTGAACTTAATTGGTTTTTGAGACCATATTCAATGTGGTGATAAGGGCACAAGATTGTTGAGAGAAAATCATGAAAATTCCTTTGTAGAGAATTGAGGAGGAAAATATAGGTGATCGTGTGAAAGATTAAAACCTTATATTAAGGTTTTGTTTCAGCTCACTTTGGACCACGGTTTTACAGAGAAATATTCAGAAAAAGTCTGTACATTTGTGAGCCTTCAAGAGTGTTCATTGAGTTTGTCCTTCAGGAGAAGGATTAGAAGCTTTTAAGAAAAAGCGCACTGCCAGTAGAAGAGAGTTCGCTATGCAGTTCAAAGACGAGTAGTACTCGTTGGACATGTCACTAAAGAGATTCATCACAACGGCAACAACATTAAAAAAGGAGTCTTTAGGTGTATAAATCCGAGTCGAGATTGTACTCAGTTTGACTTAATGGATTGTTCACTATCTGAACGTAGTCCCGTGGCGACAACATCATTTTCTAGTGTTCTCTATTTTTCTTGCTTTATTTCCTGCTTGATTACTTTAACGTCTCAGAGTATAATCAGTATAGTCAATCGTCAGTGTTCCAAATAGTGTTACAATACTCTGTAACACCTGAAAACAGACCTTTCACAAACAATACTCTAAGGCTGTTTTAAGTTTCCCGCCAAAAAAACAGTAATATTGTCTCTTAAGATATATATGTTCATATGTGTAACTGGAGTGCACATTGTAAAGTGTTTTTTTATGATGCACTATACAAAATAATAACACTTGCACTAGAGTATTAGCTCTTCCTCTTATCTTTTATACTCTCGCCTTGCTCTCCCCATTTTACTCAGTGTCTCGTGCAACAATAGATCTTCCTTTCCTTATTGAACATGTCCATCTCTTGAATTGGGAAAAAGCACACAGAAAGAAATCCTGCAAACTAGTCCCGCTGAATCTCTCTGTGAAAAGTCCACTCAGACGGATTCAGTGTCCTTTTCCCATCAGCAGCAACAAGATCATAGGACGAGTCCTCAGAAAATTCCGTGGGCACGGACTTCCAGTGCAAACATGGCTTCCACTCAGCACTCTTCAGTACCTTCAATATCTCCTCGACAACAATCTTGCTCCCTTCGGCGGATAAATGAATCCCGTCCCTGCAGAGAATGCAGAGAAAGTTAACTTTCCTTTTGAAAAGAAGGGAATACAAAACCAATTTTAACTATTGGCATTGGACATAATTCCTCAGTCTAAATTTCACATCTTGCACTCTGTCTACGGAATTAGTTTTTGAAACATCATAGACTTGGTCGTTGTTGTTATACAAATGACGAATCCAAAACTTATTGATAGATTGAGAGCAAGACAGAAAAAATGAACAGAGAATTTGTATCAGTTAATATGAAGCTACTATAGAAACCACAAATTTATCAGTTCCACACAGGCGCGGATTATGGAGTTCATCACTCTACTAGTACATGCCCCTCGAGCATTCAAGAAACTAGCAGATTTAGAAGGGACTATGTATATGGAAAGTGAAATTTGGGGTGGGTACTTACAAAAGCAAAGGATAGTTCAAAGTCACTTTGAGGCACTTTTAAAAGGAGCATTTTTGTGAAATGAGAAAGAAAACGCTAGAAAGAAAACTTACGTAAAGCAAGCATTCATCCAATCATCACTTCTCTGGAAGGCGCTAAAAAGATCAATAACCTTGACGCCTGTTTCCTGACCCACCTTTATGCAAGCTTCTGAATATTGTCCGCACAGCTCATTAGTTCTTACTAGCTCACTGAATATCCCACTGTTTTGAACATAAAATGCTTGCTTTAGAAATACGCAAAGATATAGAAGAGAAAAGGAGAAAAATACTGTTCAAAGGAGATGCATACCTTGTAGTTCCACAAACTTTCTCCTCATTTACTGGAGGACAAGTAAGAAAAATTATGCGTATAGAATCTGAAAGGCTCTGGCTTCCAAAACATTGTGTTAGAATTAGAAAAAAAAGTCGTTAAAATTTGTGGTGGCTCGAAGATAACTAAATGTAACAAAAGTTAAAATTAGTGTATCTTTAAACTTTTCTTGACCTGGATCTGTTCTTCCATTAACTGTTGAAATTAAGTATTTTCAGCAATTCACAACATGATACCATTTATTTCCTACACATTTGGGTGCTTGTTTTAAGCCTTGAACTTGATCGCTTGTTGACATTCTGTATAAACAAATTATAGACAAAAACACCTTTTCTTCACAATTTCCAAGGACAAAACATGAACAAAGTACCTGGAGATGTCTTGCGATCTTTTTCATGTTCTCTATGTATTCAGGAAGTGGTACGTGAGGGCCTAGGCCAGACGAGTGAGACCCCATCGAATCATTACCGCCAAAATAAACTATTACCAATGAAGGCTGTACTGAAGCATCCTACAAGCGATACGAAATATTTGTTAAGAGTCCGAGCACAACTTCAGAGGCAACTAAATCAAGGCTCATATGAGAAACTAATGTTAAGAATTAGACGCCCCAGTCCTTTGCTACCGAGAACAATAAAATCGAAGAAAACAAGCAGACAAATAAACAAATATAAGATTTACTGTGGTTGACTCTCAAAAGAGCTACATCCTCTTTCAACTTATTTCATTACAATAAAGAAGAAAGTTACAAGAGAAATCACACCTCACTTGTTTTCTCTAACCTATCTCTTACTCTCTTTGTTTTCTCTGATCTTTCTAATATACACGAGTGAAGACTCAAAGATACCCTTACTCTGCGTGCTAACTTTGCGTTAAAGTAATACTTAGGCTCCACACACTCAACAACTAATATTCCAGCGATGATAAAATTTTCTCACTCATAGCAAAGTTCGGTATAGTTTCTAATTTGTTTCCAGAGTCTCTTTTAAGTTATCTAGGAATTTTACAACTAAATGGGAAAAAAAACGTATTTAGCATCAGCCAAAAAGTATGTATAATTCAAATTCGAGGGTTTGCAAGTCACTTGTACATTCACATTGGAGAGTTACATGAGAATTGGAGAAGGGAAGTGATTTCCGCAAGAAGGGAGGAACAAAGTATATATTAACAATATCAACATAAAAATTTGGTGGTTCCAAATGAAGCCAATAATAATAAATTGAATCTCTTTTTTTTTTTTTTTTCCTTATAACATGGGTTTCCCCTAGTATTGCGAGCACACATCTTAAAAAGAGTCGATAAGGTATACTAACAAGGCTTCATAAATAACCTCAAGAGCCATTGTTTTGGGGGCTAGTAAGTGTGAATACCTTAGGAAAAACTTGATCAAGGACCTGCAGAGCACGCCTTGAGTTCCACCCGTAGTACCCTCTCAACAATATATCTGCCTACAAAAAATGACAACAAAATTTGATGTGCTAAAACAATTCTAGAAATGCATTAGCAAGAATTTACAACACTGATGCGAGTTTAGAATTCGAGTTTTGCTACAGTAAAAAGTTCTTAAAAATAGTCACATTTAACTTTTTTCCTACAGTAAAAGACTCTCACATAAAATCACATCTCAACTCGCATCAGCGAACTAAACGGGCCCAACATCTGTCTCAGCAACTCGAATAAGATCGTCACACTGAATGAGATTAACTGTCCTATACATAGATTTGCATTACTTTTTCGATTTTCAACCGGTGAGAGAGACTCAAGATAATACTAACAAAATTAAAAATTTTTAAAAAAATTTAAAAATTGTCACCTACTCCAAAAAAGAAATAGTAAAAATTACACCACATGGCATATGCTTACAAGAGTGAAATTGAAATATAATAATTTTTTTTGAAATATTTCAGTAATAGTATAATTATTATAACAATTGTCACATTTCATGCTACATAATTACGTAGCTATACGTATTATTATAGTGAGATTAATTTCTACTGTGTGTAATATTATATATATATATTTCTATTGTGTGTAATGTGACTGTTTTTAAGAATTTTCAGTAAAATATTATAATATATTATATATATATTAATTTCTACTGTGTGTAATATATTATATATAAACATTTCGTAAGATTATGTATGTTTAAGTTTTCTGGAAAAAAAAAAACCAAATATCACGGAATATGATTCTGGAAAAAGTTGTTCTCTTCTATGCTGAAATTAAAACACTTGATGAAAAACCAAAGGCTAAATTAAAGCTTAGGATGTTTAGTTCGCTGATTTAAATTTTTAATTGGAGTAAAAATATAATTTCATGTGATTGTTTCACAAAATGAACGGAAAAATGAGCGATTGTTGATAAATGCGATTGTTTCACAAAATCTTTTTACTGTACAGAATTTTAAACTCAAATGAACGGAAAAATGAGCGAACTAAACAGGTGTTGCTCGGAAGAAAAGATTTTGTAGCTGTTGTTAACTTTCACGGCGAAATAAGGATGATCCAATTACGAATCCTGAACAGTTTCTACGTAATAAACCAGAGAAAAGAAAGAAGGGGAAAAAAAACTCCATTAACAAACAAAGCAGATATAAGAAAAGAACAGTACATACTTTGCGAGCGTAAATGTCAGAGAGCATAGCGCCCCAACCGCCATTGCTGTAGCTCAGCTGAACAATCGACGATCCAAACAGAACGAATTGTGGTCTCGCCGGACCCACCATCTCTCTCTCTCTCTCTTCGAACGGAGAATTAGGATCAGCTGCGACGCTGGTTGTACAATGACCGAACAAGGAGCGAAGAGGAAGTGAAATAAATAAAAATGGAAATTCTTTTTTCTTCTCTATCCCATAACCATTTATGTATATTATTACTTTGAAATGTGTACGACAAACAAAGTTTTGTTTGCAGGAGGAAATACTTATGTCGTATTTAGTATAACGACAATTATGTACCTCCGCTCCAACCCAAGACGTAGATTTAATGCCGTTATTTTCAAAGGTATATTTATATTATGCTACAAATTTACAATGACCATCGGATTCGATTGATTTATTTACATTCATTCACAGGTAAAGGGTAAAGTAGTATTCATGTGTAAAATCATGAATTTACGTGGCTTCTTGAATGACTTGTATGACAAGTATGGCTCTATGTGACTTTTCAATTCAATTATTATTATAATAATAATAATAATTATTATTATTATTATTATTATTATTATT